CCTGGAGCGAGTCAAAGCAGGAACGTGAGAGTAGGGGGGAGGGGGTGCTCGCCGATGCCGCAGGTGCAGCCAGTTGGCTGGCGAACTCGAGGCGAGCGTGCTCGCGACATCGTTCGTGTTCGCTACGCCGCTGTCGTGACGTGACGTATCGCGCCGTGCGCCGGCATCTCCGGTCCTCCCTCGAGAGAGAGAGAAAAAGAGCGTCATTGGCCAGCTCGCACGCCGATCAGAAGTCGTCGTGACGAACACCCGACGTCGCACCGGCAGTGCACGAAACTCCGAAAGCACGACGCCGTCTTCTCGTTAACCGGGATCGATCCGCCGGCGTGGTCAGCGAAACAAGATCTATCGCGAAGTCGAGCGAAGCCAAAAGAAATATTGTTTATTGTCGAGAACAAAGTTTCCAGAGTTGTTTCATACTGAAATATTTCGAGTAAAGAGGAGGCCCCCCGAGAACACTGGATCGTCTGTTGCGCGATCGCGTTCGAGGCAACGATTCGTGCGAGCGGCGTCATGACCATGTGTAAGGTGCACGTACTTCGGGCGAGATCGTGAGCAAACGAGAGAGTGTTGTGCTCTGGAAGAGACGCTGAAAAGATCCAGTGAGAGCAAACGGGAGGACGACAGCAATGAGGACGACGGGACGCTCTCAGGCCGACAGCTGAGAGAACACGCGCTGTTCGAGAGTGCGATTCCTGTCTTTGGTGACGGCACGAGAGTTTTGCTCGAGGTTCAGGTCGTGCTGCGCCGGAAGGTGCAAGAAAGCGCGAAGCGAGCACGGCGGGAATTTTGCAGTGAGTGCCGAGAAAATTGAAGGAAACGCTGGCATTACTGGCATCGGGGGGGAAAGTGTGAGAAGTGCGATTTAACGGCCGTTGGGATAACAACAGTAAAAGTGGGTGCACTGAGGCCCTCGGGACCGTTCGGCCGGTACGGGCCCGTCGAAGGTGGGCCTGGTGGTGGTCCCGGGCCCGGCGAAGGAGTGGGGGCAGGGGTGGCCGCGGTTGCGGCTGGGGAGGTGGAGGGCTACGGGGGCGCCGGGGGCGGGGGAGGGGGCCCCGGGGGGGTTGGTACCCCCCGAATAAGGGTCACGGCCCTCGGCGGGCGTTGCTGCGCACCCCTGCCCGTCACCCAGGCTTGTAACATAGGTAAGTGACATGCGTATCGTTTACATAATAGTTGATAGAACTTCGGACCCGAAATCGGACCCCGCCGTGCGTGATAATTCTTTCACACTCGACGCGCGTGATGTTTCTGTCGCCAGATTAATCGTAGTTAGATTTAAAGCTGAGGTTAAGGAGAACCGTTGAGAAACGGTATAGGTATATTCTCCAACGTTCGACAGAGTCGCTGATGAAATGTACTCTAGCAATGCTGGCTCAAATATGAAAATTACATATGGATATTTTTGCGGTTGCATGCTGCAATGTAGTCGACAAAATAATTCGAACATTACAGCTTTCCATTGTAAAAGCTTGATAGTGTTAATAATGTCAAAGTGCAAAGAATCAAAGGTTCCGGAAATGTCAACTGTCAAAGCATATGCAACGCATGTAATTTCCGAAATATATAATCGAGAATTGTACGTTATTATAATTTTATAAGGAAAAACATAAGTATAAAATAAATATAAAATTTATTATGGCTAATTCCTTAAAGTGTAAGATTGATAATAGCGTGTATTTTATACGCACTTATCTTCTGCAAATCTGTTCCACACTTTCTAAAAATTTTTCTAACAATTGTTGAATCCTTTTTGTTGAATATTCTAAAAGAAGGTAATTAAGGCATGCGAGAGAGCTGTTGCAGATAATCGTACTTTAAATCCGTACTCCATCCATTTTGTCGTGCTTTTGATACTTCGCTTGATATGTCATTTAATCTTTTATACGTATGTGCAAAGCATATTTTGCGTAAAATGGGATGAATTCCGAAGTAACGTATTCTGTCTGATGCAACATTGAACTGATGTCATATCTAACGCACCGGAGAAGCGTGTAGGCTACGCGCGACGCGTGAGACAGGATCAATCTTGTTCATATTAAAGTATCTTTATAATATATGTATAACATCTGCATTGATGATCGATTCTAGGATTCGTGACTTTTTTCTCGGAAAAGAAAGAAGTTAATAATAATTTTTTTGCCTATAATTATAAACACAATAAATTTATATTATATTTCACATTTTAATTTTATTTTCTATTTCTTTAAGCATTTAAACTTCACGATTGGAAATTTATTATCTAAAATTCGCATAACCAGAGCAATGTTTTAAAATTGATAAATTTGGAGCTATTTTTTTTTTTACTTTTAATTTAGTATCAAAAGCTTAATCACATTTTCTAAAGCTGCATTGCTTTATGAATTAAGTATCGCCTTTTAACTGGGCGTCACTAGGTTTCTTCGCGAGAATTCTCGATAAGGTGCGTTGCTGTAAAGTACCTGTTGCTATATGCGAAACTTTTGCGCACGATTTTTCCGCTCATTTTCACGCGGTGGCGTGTGCGCGAGAGCACAGTGTCATTTCGATCAATCTTTTCGTAGGGCGTGAATCTCTTTCTTTCTCTCTCTCTTTCTCTCTCTCTCTCTCTCTCTCTGCGAGAGACGTCATGCGTGAGAAGCTGCACGTACGAGTAGATCACGAGTCAATGAACCGCTCAATAGAGAATGTAATTCCGCGACGTTATACATGCAAATCTATGCTACGATCGAAGGAGCGACGCACTTTTTTTCCGCTCGCTACGTCGCAATTGCGTGGATCAAAATGGTAGAGAAAAGTGCCTTTTAAACGTTTGTATCGCGATAGGCGTGCGTGAAGGTTGTTCGTAAGAAATAGGGAAGGCTGGAATACTTTTTCAAGTATGTTAATGTATTTAAATCTTCTGCCTTGAGAGAAGTTTGTCACATGTGCGAAAGCGAAAAGTATGACATATGTATATGTCATTCAAAGTTATATTTTTAGCTAATTTTATGTTTACATTAAAATAGAAATCTAATTATAAATATGAGTCATAATCTGACTAATTAATTTGAAATCTTGTGAGCGACGGCAAACACGTGCTTATGCAGAAAATGTATTTGATTGTTTCTATAAAGAGATCTTGTTTAATTATAGAAATAACGGTAATTTCTAATAAAAATATTTAATAGTAGTAACAATAAAATAGAAAATATTAATATAAACATTATGTATTTTTAATGTAATTACGGATTGTTTATTCGATCATTTCTTCTCTTTTCAATAACAATTAGTCTTTATTGTCGTAGAAAATTGATATTTTTGTATATATTGATCGTTTTTAAACATTTAGCGTAAAAATAGATTGGCTCAATAAAATTAAATAAATAAATTTGAGCAATCAATAATTGATTTATAATAAACTATAATTGATTATTGAAGATGACACAATTTTCTTGTATATTTTCAAAATTCTTTTTAAGTATTTTATTTTATTTGCAAAAAATAAAATCTTTTGTTACCTGTTCGTATTAATCCATTAATTTCTGCCATTAGAAAATAACAGAATCAAGATGATACTCTCTCTCACTTGATAATTCCTCAAAAGCGTACAAAATATTGTCTATACATGATATCTCGTATTAAAAATGATAGAAAAAAACCGTATACTCTTATCATTAACTTTAAATAATTATATACAATTGATAATAATCTTTAAAAATTTATATTGTTTTCGTTAATATGGCCATCCCAATTTCTTTGAATTACCAAAGTCAGTGAATCGATCCATCGCTGACGTGGCTCTTGCGCTGCGGAAAATAGTAATTTCGTCACGATGGTTTACCGAGTCTAGATGCACCTGACGTAAGCGATCTTAGACTGATTAAGGTAATTCGTTCTCCCACTTCATCCCCTCTGCGTAGGCATCGCGACTCTAGGGTGAGAATGCGCATGTCGGAGTATACACGGAAGTGGGGCTGCGCGAATAAACATGGGTTCACGCGACCGTCAAACGCGATTGCGTTCGAAATTACGTTCGTGAAACAGTTCCGAGCTGTTTTAGCAATTTCGGATTTGATGTATCAGTCAAAAATTATATTACATTATTGGCCGATGTGAGAAGATGTTTAATTCGACATAAGTAAAGAACTCATTTTTAGAATTTTAAGTAAGTATGTACGAATTTTAAGTAAGTATGTACGAATTGTAGCAAAGAAATCAAGCAAATAGTTTTCTTACATTTTTGCTGTTATCTTTTTCACTTATTAATTGTTAATAAGTAATAAGTAAATAATTAATTTAGATTATTGGTTATACTTGATATTGACTCTTGCTATTTCGCATCTAAATAGGTAATACGGTATAAAATTTTGCATTTGCTTTTGCAAATAATATTTCTTAATTATCCATTATTGATCAATGTTTTGATAAATAATTATTAATATTAGGAGCGTCACGTTATTCTGCGCTGTTATTGTTCTGGTATTTGTGATAAAGATGTCTTGATAAAGCCTGATCCGACGGAACAAAACAAGATCCGGCGTGACGCGAGCAATGACGTTCAGTCGGAAAAAATCGGATTAAGCAATCCGATGTTGGTGGCTCAACAAGATTTTCGTCTCACGTCTAGCTAATCCTAATCTGGTTTATGCGATTCAGTTAACTAGTTTGGTCTTTCTATAGCTTTCTATCATTCACTTTATTTCGGTTAAGGCACGTGTAAAATCAAAAGCTTTTCTAGGTTGAGGATTGCATATGTGACGTTTTTATTTTTGGTTGACGAATTAAGAAATATTCTAATAAAGCAGGAAATAAAATTTTATATTTAAATTTGTTGTGTCGGTAATGACAAAAGAATGTTTATAAAATTTTTTGCGGTTGTCATTGTCGAAATTTTTCCGTATTAAAATTAAATGTATATTATTTAAACTTCCTTATAATTTTTTTAAATTTTATCCAATTTTGTTTATCTAGTAATCATTGTATTTCTTTTAGCACTACGTAGCGTTTGTTTTATTATAATTTTATTGTTAATCGATACTGAGTCATATATCGATCACTTCAGATTCGAACACAAAGCAGAAAGAAAATATCAATGCGAGTTATATCGCAGATGCGTGAACGAATCATTATTCTTACAATTTAAGTCGTAAAATGTATGAAGTGTTGATCTATAAATTTTATTTATTAACAATAAATGTGTTATTCATATCTTCTAAATCAAATAGCTTTTCCGTAAAGGATCTTTTTCGAGTTATATAATAAAAATAGCCGTTCAAACTGTTAAAAGCGGACGTCTAAAATAAAATTGACATATCAATTCAGTGTTATATATTAAAGATGAATTATTAACGATTTCTTTAAATATTTTTTAATAACATATCTGCCGACGGTAGTCGTTTAAACAGGTTATTTTAATCGGCGTTGATCAGTACGTAAATATCCTGTGTATGTATCTTATATTCGTTAAGACAGTTATTCAGGCATTTATGTTGTTACGCGATAATCTTACTGGAATGTGGTATATTTATAAATAAAATTAGCTCTTCTAAGTGTGTTATCTTAATTTATGTTATAAATCTTGAGATTAGACAGTTTATCGTTCAAATATGCAGTTAATATTTTTTCACAAAAAGAACTTTGACCAATTTTAATCGTTATTACGCGATTAAAAAAACTATCTCTAATTTTCATACATATTATTAACTTGAAAACATATTTCAACTTTAATTGCTTTCAACTATAATTGTAACAGAATTCTATGTAACCATTACACGCGATTTGCTAAGTCTAAAAATATTGTTCTCCGTATATTGTGCTCCTTAATAAGATTTTTTAATTAATATAAGATCAGGAAAAATGGGATTCTTATTTATTCAATTATCGCTCAAATGCCACATATTTATGAATATATTTGTTAAAATAATTTAACAGATATTAAATAAATTTAATAATATTATAAACTATTTCAAATAATTGCATCACATATATTGATTCTGTCTTTTTAATATTTATAGTTACTACTTTTTGGATATATTGAGTAATTTGAAAAGAAGAAAGGGAATTATATGTGTATATATATCATATTAAATGTCTAAATATCTAAATGAATTTAATATATGTGTATCTTTTTATTGATTTGAAGATTTAAATGAGTTCATCGCAGTAGATGACCTGTTTTAGACATCGTAATGGTAATGGTTCACCCTGAAACATTAATAGAGGGCGCGTGCAAGTCGATTACGTGGAATAGTTTATGATCTCGAAGTTAACTTGCGAACGATCGCAGGCTGCGTCGATGCCGTGCTGCCACCCTCGCCTTTCTCGCCCTTCCGTGAGAGGGATGAGATGCGCAAGGTCAGATCTTAAGGGTGGGAGGAGGGTTGCTAGGTTGACAACCCTGCCAGCTAGGCAGAGGGACTCCGCCCATTGGCGGAAACCGCTGAAAAAAAGGAAGAGAAGGGTGAAGTCTGTGGGTCTCAATGATGGCGATAAAAACGGCGAGAGGGCGAACAGAGGGAAGAAAAGGACAAGAAATAATGGGAGAGCGAAAGAGGAAGAGAGAAGGATGTAGAGAAAAAGAGGCAGCAAAGAGCGAGAGCAGTCTCGTTCGCAAATGTCAATTAACGACGAATTATAATTATTCGCCGATGGCTCGGTCGCGAAAGGCGCGTGAAAAAGCGACTACGAAATTAGCCAGGTGAAAAATTGCGCAACTATAAATGCCGAAGTGCGATCGTTAAATTCATCGATGCAATAATCCGCGGCTTTTTGTTTAAGCACGGCGGGATTTATAGTTGTTGGTACTTCGTTGCGACGTTCGAGATTTTTCTTCTTTTTCTTTCTTGCGCATTAAAGGGTACGTCGTTTATTAAGTGATCGCGACACAGTCCAGACGGTAAATTTTCGGCTAACCATTCAACAATTGTAACGCAAACATTTTAACTGCGATATTATTCAATTTGCCACTTTTAAATTATTGGACAATGCCCAGCAGTAATTGAAACCTCAATTAGTGCTCGGTAATTTTTGATATGTTTAATCGTTACTGTTATGTTAACAATGGATGATATATCTACAGAGGTTCAGCGGAACGCTTTTTCACAGTTTAATGAATTTAATAATTTTTTGCAAAACTTGTTCGTCTAGCAAAAATTTTACGGTTACCATTATAAATATTTAGTTTTCAATAAATATCGATAATTGTATAACTAAATAAAAAATATACAAATTTGTGATAATTAAGTTTTAAATTAAATATGTATTAAATAGATATTGAAAAAAAAAACAAGATATTATGTGATTTTATTAATATTTAAAAATATACTTATGTAGCAAATATTATGATAAACGTATATTTTTTAAATGCAGATATAAAAAAATAGTCAGTTTTCAGCCACAAAATAGGATGAAACACTCTACAGCTAATATAATTTGCGAAATGTGTGTGATATGTCAGGTTTTTCTCAAAAGCTTTCTTGTACTCACTTTGAATTTATTTAAAAAATCCGCGGACTTTTAACGAAACACGCGATTTTTTTATATTAATCTTATCACTGTAAAAACACAAATTTTTTTGCGTAGATCGGATTAGTTGTTACTTTATGTGATTAGTACGGCGATTATGTCGCATTGTTGTATTTTTATACCGTTTGACTATGTCAACCGGATCGCATGGCGATTTAACCGTTAAATATACAAAAAAGGCCAGCACAATGCATGCCTCGTTATGCACGCGCGCTCTTACAATGAAAGCGCTTAATCTTCTTTCTAAATAAACGCGCGCCACGCTTGAAAGACTTCCCAACATTTCGATCTGTTCACAACGCAATTAATAAGCTGTTTTCCTTTTTTTTTTTATTTAAATTGATTATTGCCGTGTGTATTTTGCGCTCTTGTATGAGATTATAATTCAACTCATTGTGCGAATAATTTCATGCGTAAATTCGATTGAGTTTGATAATTGTGCGTTTTGAATCATTTGCGGAAATTAATTATTACAAATAAATAAATAAACCACGAAAAAGAATTCAATATTGCAAGTACGATATTTATCTACCAATATTTGCCTACCAATATTTTTGACATTTCCCAACTTGAAGAAATTACGGGGATTAAATTATTTGGAAAAAGGAGGAAATATCGAGTATAAATTAAAACATTCACCGTTCCAAATCACGCGATGCATCAGCGATTATGTTAAATCGCGTAAAGCCGGTATTGCGGTGAACGCGTAACGCATATTTACAGCGAAATGTTCAACACTGCGTGCAGAACTAATATTAATTTAAGCTTTGTCCGAAACCAATGACGTAACGTTCATGTTCGTTGTGCACATTTAATAACCGCGCATTAATATTTCATCAAATTTCAATTGAAATTTTCGTATCGGATGTATCAGATCGAGTCATTTGACGAAGCGTACAAAAAATTAAAAAAATTTTTTTTTTAAGGTAAAAAAAGTAAATCTGTACGCTTCGTCAAATATGATTATTATAAGCTTTCACGGCGGAGGTGAACGTCATGTTATAAGATCGGAGTTGTAATGACGGAGATGCGTAATGTGTTCTCTTTTAATTTCAACAGGGAGACGCGGTCTGGCGATGCTCCTGTCATGTGCAGGATGCGAGAAACCGATAATGGATCAGTACCTGCTGAACGTTTTGGACCGTGCATGGCACGTCGAGTGCGTGCGCTGTTTCGACTGCAGAGCCGCGCTGCAGGACAAGTGCTTCTCCAGGGAGGCGAAGCTCTTCTGCAGGAACGACTTTTTCAGGTACGTGTCGGTATGCGTGCGCTTTCAACTTTTAGATGGAAAGATCCTTCCGATTCGCTAAATAACATTATCCAATTACTTTAGGAAGAAGATTAAAATTGTGGAAAGTTGATATTGTGAAATAACTATTTATTAATACATTTTTCAATAAAATTATTTATTGACCCATAGTTGCTATATGTGAAGTAATATCTTTTGATATGCTTAAAGAAGAAACATCGCTTTGATGTGAATTTCAAATAGAATTATCTTTCCGTTTGAGAGATGAACTTTTTCAAGCCTGCTTTTCGCGAAGTGTAATTGATATTCTTATTTTTTAAATCGCGACAATTTTTTAAATTGTGTTGGTAATAATTATTAGTAGATAATTAATCGTTACTGCAAATAGCAAATTAATATCATTATCAGCAATATTATTATATACCGTACTATATTAGAGCTCATGTTTATAATGTGCATACATATATGCATCGATGAATATGGATGCGACGACTGCATGACTATCGCATTCTTTCATCGCACTACTATGACAAGAAATACAATATATGTATCTTAAGACACTGATTTATACACAATCTTATTTATGATCAGATGAATTTGAAAAACGACCCAGAAAAGGCGCGTTTTTATCCGCTTCCAAACTTCCGCGAAAGTTCGCGCAGTCGAGCGGCGTCACGACTTCTCGCCACATCTCTTCGGCACCTTTCTCGTAGACCGAGTCGTCTACTGTCTATTGGCGATGAATCACGCGGGAACGGCTAGCTGTCGGCGTTTTTATGCGATTACGCGACGGATCGGCGCGATTAGAGAAAAAGGGACTTCGTGACGAATAGGCAGGTAGGTCTTGGCACTTCCTCGCCGGACGAAGCAGGCGCCTTTTCACTCGGTCTGATTTCAAAAATCGGTCGCTCGCTCAACAATGCGCATCAAGCAATCGTAAACAACCGAGTAGCAACAGGTCGAATTTGCAAGCTTGCGAGAGATACATATTCATTTTTCTGCGTATCTTAGGAAAATGTTGGTGCAGGTCTTTCTGGTGAATTTTAACATGTTAGTTGTCAATGTGTCGCTGATGATAAAATTGGCATGTATAATAAGTACTGGAATAGCACTGATGATGTATTTCACGTATAATTCGGACGAGAAAATAACCACAAACTTATTTTATTTTTCAAGTTTATAAAATCTTTATCTTTTAAAATTTTAGAAAATTTGTAAAAATCTTAAATTTTATATAGATAGATCTAAACCTTTAAACTCTATAACTGGTATTTAAAAAAATAAACTCTTAACTGCTATTATGTACGTCACTCAGCTGTTCGCTTAATTCTTCTACTGTTTTCTTCCGATATTTTATACTCTTTAAACCTTTCAATTAGTTTTTATTGTTGATCCTATTGTATATTATCTATGTTTTGCTATTTACATGCGAGGATGATCGTTGTAAAAAATTCTTTACTTGGAAAAGTTTTTTCTTTAAAGTGAAATGAAAAAAGTGAATAGATTCTTTAATGCCAGTTGAGAGAAAAAATACAATTATACCAGTTAAGAATGAAAAAAAAGACCTTAGAAAAGAAAGTTTCTTCTTTTTAATTTGAGGCCAGCTAAAGTATTGAAAACAATTTGTTGGGACGTGAGAACAAAGGAATTTTCGAAACACAGATTACTGCAACTCGCTGCTCTGATTCAAAAATCGAATAAGACTCTGGAGGTTCTTAAGCTTCTTTCGTGCCGGAAGTTTGCCGGAAGGAAAAGTAGTTCAACCTAGTGATTGAATTAATGATCGTCGCGCATAGAAGCGATTTAAACTTGGCAACATGGCCAGTGATTAATTCAGACACTCACAAAGTAAATTGCTTTCGGCGGCGTTTTCGGTGGTTACTTATTTCTACGCATGTCCGTTTTGCGTTCTAAAATTAGCGAAGGAATAATTGACTGACATATTGGCCCTTCATATTACAAATAAACATTCTTTCGCATTTTTTAAATCTCTAAAAATTTGTATTATAACGTATATAATATTATTATTATTTATTAATTATTAGATATTGTTTAATACTAATATTACATTTGCATTTCATTAGCAATTGAGTTGTATTAATATTATTATTATTAATATAATTTAACTTTTAAAGGCAAATTTCGACAAATCAATGAAAATATTGCTACAAATTATAGCCTAAGCAGCGCGTGCAGACAAACATTTCTTGCCTTATATATTCATAACTCAAAAAATCGATATCTCCACAACCGGTCTTTATTATTCGCGACGCCGTCTGTCGCATCCTATGATCCATGTCGTTCCACGTGGGTGGCAAACTGTGATATCAGCATATCGATTAGTCAGAACGAAAAATGGCGAATTCGCCGCACCACGCTGAGAGAAAAATATGTGATATTCGAAACTATAATTGCGTAGGATTGTAATATCATAGTCAGAATACTCATTTTTATAGGAATTGTTCTATTAATTACTATAATGTTAGCAACAATAATCTTATACTGCCAATCGTATAACCAGCCATATAGTTAAAGTACCTAAAAATACGGTTGGCGCCAGAAGACACTATAGATTATAGTTACTGCGATTATTCTTTTCTCTCAGTGCACACACACACACACACACACACACACTGTGGCGAATTCAATCTCACGGCTGCATTTTTCTGCTATAGCCGGGCGCGCGTTGGATAGTTTGCAAACAAAATTACCGCGTTCTCAAGCAGGTCCCGAGGAAAGCGACTTGCTTCTTTCGTGACTTCTGGAAGTGATGAACGATCCCCTTTGTAACCGGGAGGAACTGTGCCGCAGCGGAATGGCGCGGGGACAGTGGAGGAGGGGCGCCTTTGATACGGATGTACGAACGTGCGAATATATAACGAACGTGTTGTATACCTTACGAGGCAGCTACTTTGCATCCCGACCCGATGAAAAATTCATTAACCGTTGATGCCAGCCGACGCCACGGTCGCAGACGTGTCGGGCTTGTTAGATGCACGATTTTGCGTCTTCCCGTTAATTTATTAATCGATTGTCTCCCGTCGCGATAACATTTCTGCAATCTGTGTCGAAGTATTAGTAACGCGAATGTTATGCTTAGCATTCCGTAGTTCGTTTTTTAATATGTTGATTTTGATATTTCCTTCACCGTGACTTTCGCACCGAACGTGGCCTAATTGCAGGGGTGAAACGTATGTAAATATTAAACATTTATAAATATATTATCGTCAGTATTAGCAAACAGCTCTAATTTTAAAGTACACTTCAATTATGTTTAGTCACATAACTGAACAGAGATAGAAATATCAAATCGATTAACTCGCGCATTTTGCTTTTGTCATATGCAAGAATTCACGAATCGCTGAATCTAATTTACGTGACGAATTTATGTAATCAATGCAATCGGGATATAAAGGGTAACGTTGACGAAATACAGAAAAATATGCCCCGAAGTCGCGCTCGGGGAATTCCATAACACCTCTGGGAGGTCTTCCTCTCGGCGTAGCGGACGGTTATACGTGCGGTTATAGTAACCGGTCTCTACGAGTCGCAGCAAGGTCCTTAAAGGTCGATAATAGCCTGCGCTACGGGCCCCGGAGGACCCTTTGGGGGATCAAAAGGGCCGATGTCCTTGTTTCGATGCTGTACATTGGCCGTCGCGCCGCCGGGCCATCGACCGCGGCGAAAATTATCGCCTTAAAATTATGGTTCACCACCTTGAACGGTCGAAATGCCGATGAAAACATTATCGGGCCCACACTGTGTCAACCGCGCGGCCGCAATGTCTCGGGGATCGGTGCGCGGAGAAAAGGAGGCGCGAGTGTTGCGCCGCTGGGTTGGTCGCGCTGACTTCTCGGCGCGGACAAGCTACCAAAAATTATCGAATGAATAATTTAATAGTCGACCGTACAAGGTTGCGCCAGACAGCGGTGCTTCACGCCGTTATCGATTCCTACCTGTGGCACTTGGAAAGGCAGTCGGCTGTTTATGAACACGCTAAATTACGCTGTTCATGGGATTTTCAACTCCTAATCGTCGATTTATCACTACGTTTCGTCACAGTGTCTCTAGTTGTTTAACCATTCGATCATTAACTTACATATGCGAAATAAAAAATTTCTAATTTATTCGAGAAAATGAAGCACTTTAGCCCATTGCCGTGTCAACTTTTTTCTTAATTTTCTAATTAGTAAATTCTTTAGAACTAAATGATTGTTTTGATTATATCGATGTGCGTCTACGAAAATGGGAAACAATATTCATTTTGGATTCTTAATGATTCGATTCGATCAGCTTGATTGTTACTCTGCTTGGTTTAATGTGTGAAACAGTCTATGCTAGTAATTAAAATTTAATTAATATTTACACCTCTTTTAATTCTTTAATTATTTGCTTTTTGGGCAAACTTATCATCAAACCTATCTATCTTAGCTCTTCAATTAGTGAAGTTTTTAATGCGAAGTTGTTGATCTCGTTTAGATGAAATTGACTCCGCTACGCTACGAAAAAAATGAATAGAAAATCATGATTCATTAATAAGCTCGCTGATAATTCATTGATAAGGCGACAGCGCGATCAACAGCGTGTTGCCAATGATTGCTTCGATCGTTACATGGATCGTTACGTGCGTTGCGTTATTACGTTGTGCGCGACGTCGCTCGCAGTTAACGCATATTTTTCCGCTAACGAAGCAACACGCGCCGCTTCGATTGAATGAAAAGTACTCTCGACGACTCGTGAGTCCAGTTTGCCTCGAGGACGCGAAATTACTTTACGTAACCGTGTACCGGTAACCGACGGAAATATTGCGCAGGCGGGATTGGTGTTTTACGAGGGTGCTAAATAACACAGTGGGACGCAACTTGCGGCACTTGCAATTTTTTTCGCCGACCGCGACGTGTGCGCGAATTGTCGCGATATCGCAACGCTATTTAGCAGAGTGTAATGGATGCAAGTGCAACAAGTGTTGAAGGCCAAATTCTTCTTCCACGTTAAATGTT